ACAGAGATGATGCCAATTCTCTTCCACGGTAAGGATAAAACTAAGTGATTTTTATTACTGATAGCCAACAGCTCACTTCCTGACTGTAGATCGCTATCCTGGTGTGACTAACTATGAAATAATCTGAGACTCTTCTCTAAGAAATGATGCTATTCATGGTAAAGCAGCATCTTCTGGCCTTGTTTATGCAGATCATCTCATTGACTTCAAAGTCGCAGCAGCATTTACAATCCACAGGATTGTATGCAGAATTTGGCCCATACCTTGTCCCACACGCTAAAACCCATTTGAGCAGCCCAAGGAATTCATGAAGCCATTATTTCACAGTAGTGCCCTCCATGCTGTGAGTTCCAGCAACCCAGAAGTTCTCTAATACAACATTAATACCTAAATATGCCAAAGCCCTTTGTAGGACTATGGCTTAAATCAAAAGCTTGAAGAAGTTTACGGAAAAGTTCTGATTTTTGCATCAAACCATCAATGTTATTTGTGATACTGAGCGATAGGAAAGGATGAATAACTAATTTATTAAGCAGGTGTGCTTAGTAGGTCTGGAATTACTAAACTTTTGTTCTGATGAATAAATTATTCAACTAACAGTGAAACACAGCCTTTGTTTTAATAAATTTCAAGATAGCAACCTGGCATCGTTATTGGGCTTTCAGGACAGGATTCAGTCCTATTCTAGATTAAGATGCTTACATTTAGGTGTCACTGGTACACCAGGATTCTAAATTATCACTGTAATCACTGGAGATCTAAGGATCAATTTGGCTTCCTCAATGTAGGTGTCTAGCACCAGTGTCCTCTGGTATTCTGCTTGGCCTTCAGCTGCTACTCCAGAAGTACAAATCTCCCACAGGTCTTTTATCACCACTGCCGTCCCCTTGGAGATGTCTCAGCCTTGAGCAACTCCAACAGTCATGAAAATCAAGCCCCTGTTGAACACAATTAAAGCTCCCTGGAGAGTGATTCAGCTTATTTCAAATGCTCTAGGGCTCAATTCAGTTGCCTAAAAATAAATGCATGGTGCAATCTTAGCTACCATAAATTATTATGCCTGGCCTCCTACTGCCTCTTCTGATGGGCACATATCTCACACAGGGTCTAGACCCTCTTCCAAGCTCATGAGGGTGGTTACTAACTCCAGGCACCTCAAATAGCACTAAACACATAAATTTAGGCACGCAAATTGTTCCCTGTGCCCCAGTGATTGAACTGATTTTCAACAGGAGCTTAGATGCCTCACATGCCTATAGGCCACAGACATTTATTTATCTGTATTTTAACCCCATGCTCAGTGAAAGAACCCCATAAAGAATACAAGAAGCCAAACAACATGATGCAGGAAGTTACCTTAATTCTACATCACAGATCAGTATCTTCATTTAATAGCTATTTCACAGCTGACAGATGGAAAACTAATACCCACTGCAATTTGCTTATTCACAAATGCCACACTCAACAAAATGTATTAATATAGAGACCAACAAAAACTGAACTGAAGGAGACACCTAAGCTACAGGAATTTGAATAGTCACATGAGAGCAGGTTAATATATCCAAACTCTTTGAAGGAGAAACAAGTCAGCATGTCTCCGTAGAGTCCAACACTTGGCTGTACTCATTCTGACCTGGCTTGGGTAATTCAACACAACACATCTTAACAGCTCCCAAATTATAAAGGTTAAAGACCAGTGATGTACTCACTTATTTTGTCTAAAGATGTTTATGGGAAGGCAACATCTTTAGAGAAAGTCTGACCACATACAAATCCGTGCCGAGGTACAAAAACTATGCACTTGCTCTATGTGACAGCCCATCCCCAGCAGTCAAATACCCTTTCCTAAAACGCTGAAAATACCAGAACTACTTTCCATATGCAACTGATGTACTTTCAAATTGGACTTGTTCAAACAAACCCACTGATAACCTGATGTGAGAGTTTATAAGAGGAGGCATCTTACTCTTTTTATAAGGTGGCATAAGCTGTCTTGTATCTTTCGATAAGCTGCACTGCCCCAAGGCATTGCTATCAGTGACATTCTCCCTTCAACTCTAAGACTGTAGAAGTGAAATATCATCTAGGAAATTCCAGGCTTGAGCTCTGGTCAGTATTTAATAATCTAGCAGCATCTTAACTATCTCCACTCATACGTCTTTATTGGCTGTCATAAGTGAGTGATGATAAGATGTCATGCCTGGTTAATACTCAAAGTGCCTGATCTCCTACTCCAAAGCTCTTCCTCAGTTGCTCTGGTTTTGCAGTGTGTTGGTAGAAGGGAATGAACTTGATGATTTCCAGTTAAAAAAAAAAATAAAAAAAATCTGCATTACTATTGAAGGTCGTGAGCTAGAACATGAGGCATATACCTTGTCCTCTTACTCCGGGGAATATTACTGCAACTAAGAGTAGTTCTGCGTGCGCTTAGGAGAATCGACAGAAAGGCATCTTCCCTGCAAGGATAACCTCAAACCTTATTAGAGCTATTTTTTCCCCTCCTTTAAAATTAAATGCCTTTTTAGTGTATGCAGTTCAACGTAACTTTATAAATTCATATAAGCGCTGAACAACCAGTGTTGTATATTGGTCTGAAACAATCCTTAAGCAACTTCCAATTATATACATAAAAATACTAATGAAGTGCAATTCCCTCTGGGATGCAAGGCCACATTCAGATTGACAACTGCTACATTAAACACTGCTAAAAATGAGTACAGAGCAAATTTTAACCAAGGACAAAAGGGCATATCACTGCTGGAATAAAAAAAAAAAAAAAAAAGCCATAGGAGCTTTAACAGCATATTTCGATCTAGGCTCAAGATCAGCCTCTCTGTCTGCAAAGTCAATTTATGCCCACAGAATTCCTGCCAGCATTTTTCCAGCAACACTGTAAGCTGCGAGTGCACAACTCCACGGCTCATACTCCATTCGATTTACATTCAGTCTAATAAACAGAGGGAATCAAAACATGCAATTGTCCGAGTTGATGAACCTGCAAAATAAGGACAATTATCCCTACATACAAAAAGCAGGCAGAATTTGCTTTTGTGTGGTCACCTAAGACACCTGCAGATGGTTAAATGGTCCAGTCACAGGGGGGTCTAGTCTGCAGCACTGGAATTGCACAGTTTGGTCTTGGGTAAATGGAACCACCTTTACAGTTTACCTTCTCTTTTCAAAGGATCTGAAATAATAATACATATTTACCTAATTTCAAGGATACTGTGAGAATTAACTAACGCTAGTGTGCCCTCCAAACATACAAAGCACTGTATGGAGCAAACAATTTGACAAGTTTTGCAGAACAAAGATTTGCAATAACCTTGCTGAATTTAGAACATATGATTTCACATAACAGATTTTTTTTTTTTTAAAGTGAGATGCATATATCAAGCTGGAATTTGTTATTCTTTCAGCTGAAGAATGTATTTTATAAGGGTTAGTCATCTACCAGAAACTCCCACAACATTATCTCATACATCATGCTTAAACTGCTAGAAAGCACGCTGAGGACAGCGTGTAACCCGTGAAGTAGAATATTGAGGGAGAAAGTAAATTATTTCATTGAATGAAGTTGATAACACTCAGATACTAGGATATTTTCTGTATTTACTTTGCTTGCTTCTTTGTTTTTTACTGTATTTACTTTGGTTCCTCCTTGATTAGAAAAAAACCCAAGTATTTTGTTAAGAAGTATTAAATGATTAGAGACCCCTGAAGTAGTCATTTAAGCAGAATATTTTACTTAATTATAATTAAGTAGGAGAAACACAGTCCTTAAAGCATACCTACATACCAGTGAAAGGAAATGATCTTACCCTTCCACTTACTCAGCAACTCTTCTGAAATCATACCATGTATCATCTCCTGTTCTTATGTCCACATCACCAGACCTAGCATGTGACCTTTTCCTTTCAGCTCCCCGATACAAGGCATCTTACAATTGCAAAGTGAGGTCCACAGGGCCTGAATCTGGAGGAGCAGAGAGATGCCTTTCTCAGAGCCGTCGAGTGCCCTTGCATCCCACATCTGACATTGGGGGAGGGCAGCAGATCTCTGCAGACACAGCTTCTCCATGCAAAATACCATCATAGTTCCTTTTTGCAATTTTTTTTTTTTTTTTCTCCTTTCAGCCTAACCCATGGTACCTAGCTAGGATTTTTAAGTTTCTTTTAAAAACAGTTGCTGAACCTCACATAAATTATCAAGGAATATGCACTAGTCCATAGAGCGTACTGTAATTCTGCATACAGGGCAAGAGCAAGGGAAGAAAGTATCTCTGCCTTCAGCCTTGCTGGGCAAGGCTGCCAAGTCAGAACAGGTTATCGTGAGAGACAGGCTGAAAGAATATTTTAAGTCAGTGCTGCCTTGTCTCCCTGCAGGAAGGCTGCTGGTGCTGCTACAACACATTCCTTGCTCAACTCTTCCATTAAACTGCAGAAGTTTGACATAATTTCCATCCTGTTCCTCACACAACTTGGGAAAACAGGTAAACAACTGCATTCAAGAGCGACTGCAACCAGAGAAACATCCTCCCCTCCTGTCCTGTCCCTTCCCGCTGCAAACGTTTGCTGGCTGCCTCTTCTCTGTGGAGTCTCTGAAGCAGAACTTTCCTCTTTCACCCCTCTGCCCAAGTACTTACCACCACCTCCTCCCCCACCATTGCTCAAGTAAAAGGCAGCTTCCAAGCCTCCTGCCGAAGACTTCAGCTACGCCCCTGACTTTGTCGCTGCTCTGTTTCCCTGTGATCCCCATCAAAACAAGCATTTGCAGGACGCTACCTCCCATCTTCTCACATCTCCACAAAAGTGCGGCCACATCATGCGTACCCTGAAATGGTAGCAGTACCCCTTATTTATTTCAGGGTTGAAGGCTGCCTTCATAGCTTGTAAAACTCTTTTGGACTTGCTTCAGCCTCTCAACAGCTTAGATCTCTTTTCTGACCTGCCTTGCCATCCCACACACTCTTGCCACCATTGGGCTCAAGACTTCATTACCTTCTTTTACTTCCTCTTCTCTGAAATAGCTTCACCTCCTGGATTCTCCTTCTGAGGTCAAATCTCAGCTGAGAGCCAACGGTTTTGTTTTAACCTTCTCTCTTCATTCCTTTCTTCTTCTCTGTTTACCATCCTTAAGATGTATGAAAAGTTCCCTGAAAAACATTCTGTGAAGAAGCTTAGATTAAAAATGCAATGCATATAAAACTTCTTTTAATTTGTCTTTATTTTGGGGGGGGGGGCAGGGGGGGGAAGTCTACCCACATATTGCTTATTTTTAATGCAAAATAATTTCAGCAATTTAAACTTTATTTGCCACGGAAGCAATATTTTAACCACACTACCAAACCCCACAGTATTTAACAAACACAGAGCAGTAATGAATATAAAGCAAGCCATAGCAGCACTTTGGTTTACATGCGAGACGGTTGACTCAGAAGCCTGGAGCAGTAGCTCTCTGAAAAATCACGTATGTCAGCATTTCTTATACTAAACTGTACTCTCTTTTGCAATTGGAAAAAAAAAAAAAGCAGTTGTCATGAAATTTATTATAGCCTTTTGGCAAAATATTATCCTCAAGACACCAATGAGCTCACAGTCTTAGAAGGGAAAAGCTATAAACCTTAAACTAACAAGCTAACCTTAGAGATTTGTCTGTCAAATGTTTTCTATGCGCTGCTACCCAAGAACAATGTGAAAATAACCATTCCCTCTCAGCTGTTGGCAATTTACCATGCAGCCGCTGCTGCACTGCATTTTCCTCTACCACCCCATTCTGAAACAATAAATCAGGGCAGAGCGAAAGGTGCCGAAAAGTTTCCTGCTCCTGCAATCTACTGCAGCCAAGCACTGCAGCAGGGCGGGCAGCGCGTTGCCGGGAGGATCACAGCGATTTGCTTCGTGTTACAGTAAGGGAACAGGAACCCTTTGAATAATCTCCAGGTAATCTGCATTAAAACCATTTTACTGCAGTGTACTGCGGTATTAGGAAAGATTTCAATATCACACCACGTGATGCAGTGCAACCCTATAGCATCTGTCAGTTCCTAGGCAGCGAGGGAAAGCTTTAAATCAAAGGCTGCAATGTAGCAACTTCCCATTTGACAAAGTAATACGACAGACTATTTTGGCTCACTGTATCGGTGCATAGGATGAAATGATACAAAATTCCTGGAATAAAATATTACACACCTAAAAGCCAACACGTTTTTGGTTTTTTTTTTTCTTTCTGTGCTTAGCCCCCCAAGCCGGTATCAGGGGAATCTTTCAATGAAAACTGATTTCCCTAACATTGAGGGTAAAGCCTTACAACGCGTTTAGCTCAGCGATAAATGAATTTCAGTATTCTAGAGATCATTTTTCCTGTTCTCATATAAGCTACCGCAGATACGTTTCCCTCTCTGTCCTTCCAGCTTGCACATTCTGAGGTTTCAATTTGCACATATGCTTTTCTATATGGTTTTACGGCATGTTATTCCAAAGTTTACAGAGTTTTTCATTATTTCAATAAAGTAAGTTTCGGAAACGTTGCTCTCATTTAAGTGCTGACATCAAAGATGCATGAAGAGAGTATGAATTTTGTCATGCGTTTAACCCTAACTTTTTCCCCAGTGACACAGGCAAACGCAATACCGCAAAATGTTATCTGCATATATTTTCAGCGCCTGATTGTTTTGTTTGTTTGTTTGGGGTTTTTTTTGCGTTTACTAGCAGGAGGGAGTTTAAACCCCCATTTTCAAAGACCTCCAAAACAGCCTCTGCAAGCACGGAGTTACCATCGAAGCGACAGCTCCGGCGGGAGGTAGCACGGCGGCAGAGGTGAACTCTTGCTGTTACTCGCAGGAGCAACCTGCGGGTGCCGGGATTGTTCTGCCGCCGGCG